CTGGCCGGCGCTGGGGCTTCCAGTGTCCAGGCCCGCAGCCCTGTCCCCTTCTCCCCCCACGGTGCTCCCGACTCAGCGAGTGAGTGCTGCCCCGGGGCGCGGAACCCCGTGAACCTGGCTGGGGGAGAGGGTGCTCCTGGAGAAGGCGGCTGTACTGCTGGGCCCCGTTTACGGCGTGCCCCCCAGTGTCCATGGCCTTGGGTCCACATCAACCATCACTTTGGCCTCCAGACTTGCCTCGGCCAGCGGGCAACAGCCTCTGGGATTTGGGCTGCTGCTTAAGACATACTTGCCCTCCGGTGAGCGTGGAACTCTGAAACCAGCAGATACTCCACCGGCCCCTAACGGCCTGCAGCCACCAGCCCAGAGGGTGAGGCCATTCCCGGGGAGCCAGCCGGCGGCAGGCCAACGCTGGCCACGGCAGCATGAGAGAGAGCCCACCCCCGCCGGACGGCTCAAACACCCCTCAGCAAACCAAAGGACGGCCGTGCTAAGTGTCGAGCCTGGGTGTTTGTTACGCAGCAGCAGCTAACGAAGACACTACAGGGCAGTCTTCAGACCCTTGGAAATGGCGGCTGTCACCCCTCAAGCAGGAAGGGCCTCCTGCCGGCTTACAGGGGCAACTCTTGTCCTCTGTGCATAAATGAATGCTGAAATCACCGATCCTGACCTGCAGAGGCACCACCGTCAGATTTCAGGTACCGTAAGACATAAAAAGCATGTTATCGCATCGTTACCCTTAAAAATCACGCGCAGCCCAAGAACCACAGGACCGGGAGCCCCGAGTGTGACCAGCCTCTGCCCACAGTGAGAAGCACTTACAGGCTCCCAGGCTGCAGGACGGGATTTCCTCGGGACACGGAACCAAGCCGATGGGAAGGGAAAGAGCCAAGAGCTGAACCAAAGGGCACGCGGTCACTTGGTGTGTGCAGCAATACGCTCCACGGACGCGAGAACGGGGCCCCGCACAGGTCTCTGGTCAGAGTGGCCTGAGGACCTGGGGCGCCCAAAGCAGCGTGTCTGCGGGGGCCTGAGGGTGCAGGGGAAGAGACTCACGCTCCTGCGAGGGCGACATCGCCACACGGGGTCTTTACTGGAAGGGCAAGGCCGGCCGTGTAGAGACAGGAGCACAGGCCGGGACAGACGTCAGGCCCCGGATGCCAGTGGGAGGCAGGGACGGGCGGGCTCTGTTAACGCTGCGCTTTTTGATTTGAAACATTAGAAACGTGTATTGCTTTGATAAAATTAAGAAAAAAATTAAAAACAGCACCACTAACTCCCAAAGGGGCAAGTCTAGCTAACAGTCTTCTAAGCACGTAGGCAATTCCGGTTGATGAAACAGTCAGTGGTTTTCCGGGCACAAACACGCGCGGCCCCCACGCGCACGCTCCCCTCTGCCCCAGCGATGCCGCTCGCCTGGGACCCTCTGGTGGACAACTGAGTGACGTCCAGGACGGAGGGGACACGTGCCCGGGTCAGCCACAACCAGCAGGGTCTGCGTCACGTGCAAGTGCCACACGGAGCACACGGGGACCTTAGGCAAGATCGTACTTACCCCAAGTTAGCAACTTAAGTCGTATTTTCAAGACTATTCCCTTAATTATAAAATCCTATGCAAAGTCACTGATGATTCAATGACACAATCAGACTGTGCGTTCAGGAAGCCTGACAAACACCACTGCCAAATGTCACCCACGATGTGAAGCCTCATGAAGAGCGTTTCAATATCCAAACGGAAGCCAACCGACGTATCGGCACCATCAGAGGTCAGACGGCCTCACGACCTCCATTTTACGCGAAAAAAATGAAACAAATGACTGAGATGCAGAGAACATGTAGACTTGGGATTCTCCCTGTGATTTTGAGAGCCAGGCCTAGAGCTACACCTGTGGGCCCTCACCTGCGGGGGGGGGGGGGGGGACACTCAACTGTAGGGGCGGGGCCTCACCTGTGGGGGCCTCATCTGCGGGGGAGAAGCCACATCTGTGGGGGCAGGGCCTCATCTCTAGGGGAGGGGCCTCACCTGTGGGGTCAGAGCCTCATCTCCAGGGGCCTCGTCCAGGTCGTGAGACCATGTGTAGGGGGCCGTGTCTGTGAGAGCTGTTTGTGGGGCTCCCCACACCTCTTAGAGCACCTGGCCCTGTGGGTGAGGGGTGCTCCTGGGGGACTCCTGGTGAGGTGCACCCCGACAGCCAGATGCTCCCCGCACATGCCCTGTGGCACCTGCTCTGGAGCTTGCAGGTGCTGATGTGAGGACTCAGGAGAGAGACTCTTCCAGGGACATAAAGCCATGAAGCGCCACGTGGGGCCAGGGGTCGGGGAGGCCAGACCCGGCCCGCAGAGGCCCCGGCAGGTGGGAAGCCCGGCCTCGTCCTGGGGCAGCAGCACCCACCCCTCTCAAGGGTTTCCAGTTTCCTGCTTCCTGGTCGACCCGACGACCCCTCTCACACCGGGGCCTTGTTTATTTCTCAATTTCCCATTTTCTAGTAAAAGCTACAAATTCAGCGGACACGTACGTCTTCCTCAAATACCAGACGGCCACGGCCGCCAGTTAGGGCACAGTCTTGCAGCCGTACCCACGCAGGGCAGGTGGCGGCGCCCGAGTTCTCGGCCCACCTAGGCCAGATGAGGGGCCGTGTGCCAGGGACACACCGGGATAAAGGGCTTTGGGGGCACACGGTGCCCTGGCCTGAGAAGGGTGACCTGGGCTGGGTACAGGAGAGCCACGGGTCTGCTTGCAGGGCGGCCCCAGGACAGAATGCAGCGGGCAGCCCTCTGCCACGTACCAAGAAGCCTGGGGCGAGGCCGCTCGATGGGCTGCAGGTGGTCACTGGGAAGAACGCCAACACCCGGGACTTCCGGCTGGCGAGCGAGCATCTCCCGAGGCCGGTCCCGGACACACTGCTCTCCCCGGCCCGGACACCGGCCAAGCGTGTGGGACGGCCCACAGCCGGACAGCAGCCCCCGGAGGCCCACGTGTGGGGCAAATGCAGGGCATGGCACCTGCTCCCGTGGGCTCCCAACTGCTCCACCCCAAACCCAAGAGCACTTGTGTAAGAGCAAGGCATGACGATGGCTGCTGGGGGCCGGTGTGCCCAGAGGCTGGCGCTGGCAACATGTGTTACACAGGACCCCGGGCTGCCTGAACTCCAGTCGGAACCACAGGGCCTGGACTTGCCGCAGCTCAGGGACCCATCCCCACCCTGGCTTGTCCTGCGCCCACCCGAGGAGGCCGCCAAGTCAGGGCGACAGCAGCAGAGGCAGCAACGCAAAGCTGAACCCCCAAAACCCAAAGCAGCAGTCAGAGCTCCCAAGGCCCAGGGCGGGCCATGCAGCTTCCCTGCAGCTTCCCCACACACGCCGCTCCCCTGAGGCCCGAGGACAGACTCTGGAAATGTGCCTTTCAAAGTGTGAACACGTGGCTCAGCGTCCACAGTGGGGACTGGGAGCTGGCGCCAGGCCGGCTCAGGGGCATACGGGGCCTGGGACGCAGCCCATGGAGCCAGGTGACAAGGCTGGAGGCCTCGCCCAGGGGTGGTGCCGGCAAGCCCACGCACGGAACCGACCCCCCAGCCCTGGCACGCCGACCTCTCCCTCCCGTCTGCAATGGAGAGCATGACACAAATCCTTTGATCGTTAAGCTACAGACCAGGAAGGGGGAGACCCTGCGATGGGAGGAGCTCCTGGCTGGACGCAGACACAGGTGCACCAGATTCTGCAGCGCCCGGCGAAGGCCTGAAGAAGCCAGGGCTCAGCAGAGGGCGTCTGCCCGGGGGCCGCGTGGGGCTCCATCGAAAGGCCGTCTTAGAAGCATCCGGTGGCACAGCGAGCGGGCTCTTAACCCTCACAGTTGTGCCGTATCACACAAGCCACTGAGCACACGTGGCCACATTGTGCCTGAAACTCAGCTGGCCCAGGGGGAGATGCGCTCCACACGTACGGCCCACAGCAGTTTCCAAGACTCAGGGCCAATGAAGCTTCTAGTACCGACTACACGTTGAAATATCTCGGAAATGTGAGGTTAAATGAGATATATCGAGATTGACTTTACCTTTTCGGTAGCCAGGCTCCCTGTCTCCTGGTATCCAGGATGTGCCAGGGTTGGGCTGCACGACCAGTACAGTGACGCAGGGCAGGGGTCCGTCCCTTCCACCCAGGCCACGGGAGACACTCGGGCTACACGGTGGGGGCTTCGTTGGTCCTGAGGCCTGAGCCTCCTGCCCACAACCATGTTTGCAGGCCTGGATGTGGTCCCGCAGCCCTGACCACGGCCTCACGAGGGGTCCCGGGTCACGGCCAGCAGCTAGGGAGCCCCTCGTTCTGACCCCAGAAACTACGAGATAATGCCTGTTTCTGTGTTAAATGGCTAAGTTTGGGGTATTTTGTTACATAGCAACCGGTTACTTACACAACCTGGGCTTTCCTGCATTGTTGTAGGGTGGCTACTGGACAACGTAAGATCGCCTTCATACTTTTAATCTGTCCTGCCTGAATCTAAGGGATGGGGTGCCTCTACTTGGTTCTAAATTTAAATTTAGATTAAATGTAAAAGCAAAAAGAATATTAGTAATTTTCTCAATTATAAAGACCAATGAGAGAAACTAAGGCAAGAAAAAAAAAATCACAGTGCTTTATAAATACACCACCCCGGGGTGGTCGCTGCTACTATGCTGGTGCTCGTGCTCACAGCTAATTTTTCTGTTTGGGGGCACAGCTTGTATTTTTGGATGAAAGCAGGTGACGAGCACGTCCCCCCCTCAAGTCCCGCTCCTGCGCCGTGACTTTCCCACAAGGTGCCGCAGGTGCCACAATCTATCCAAGCAGCGTGTGGCTGCCGGGTGGCCTGGTCTCGGCACAGTGGGGGGCAGCCCGTGTGCCACTGTGGCGTCGCGGCCCGGAGCACGCCCGGAGCACGCCTTGGCAGCAGCACGGGGACACCGCCAGGACCCGGCGCACGGAAGGCTCCCGCGGGGGCGCAGGGGCCCGGCCAAGCGACTTACTTTTATGTGCTCGTGCAGCTGGGCCTCGTGCTGCCGGGAGAGCTGCTCGTGCTGCCTCTGGAACTCGGCGATGAGGATCTGCCTCTGGAGCTGCTGCTTCTGCTTGAGGGCCAGCAGCTCCTGCTGCAGCTGCTGCTCCCGGAGGGTGGGCTCCGCCACGGGCAGCGCGAACTGGTGGTCCAGGCGGAGGTCCATGGGCACCGCCGGGGGGGCGACCTGCAGAGGCAGCGCGGAGGCCACATCCACTGCGGGAGAGAGCACAGCACAGAAGCGCCGGTCACTGCAGCGGCACGGCGACCCCCGGCCCCTCCCTCCCCGACACCACTGCGAGGGGTGCCCGGGCGCTAGGGCGCACGGAACTCTCGGGCTGCCTCTTCCCCCTCTCCCCCAACAGGCTCAACATGCGGGACTCGGGAGGCCTCGAGGGCTTCCGTTCCTCAAGTGCAAGATTGCAGAAGCGGGTGGCAGGTAGCCCAGGACACCCGCTGGCACGGCCGCCCCCCCGCCCGGGAGGCCCCGATGCGCCCGAGGCCCTCCTGACGTCATCCCTGCAAGTCAAGGGAGGGAGAAGAACGGAAGGGGCTCTGAAGAGAGTGCGCCAGCGAGGGGAGAGGCCGGCCGGCCTGTGCTCGGGCGCTCGGAGCTGCTGGGCTCTGTGTGCGGCCCGCGGGGTCCGGACAGACGGCGGCCAGCGTTTCCACGGAGAGGCGGGCGCCCTCGGCCACCAGGCTTCCCCGCCAGGGGCGCGCCGGCCGCCCGCCCCAGCCTCAGCAGGCCCTGAGCTTCCGCGCCTCGCACAGAAGGGGTTTTCCTCCCGGACCAACGTACCCCGAAAAAAGCTCAAGTGATTTTGATTAGAACCAGAAGCTAAATCAGCCTTGGTGGCTGCACATCAATACCAGAGCACAGTGAGGAAAAGCACGCAGCCAGTTTTCAGCGGCGGCCACCACGTCACCGGCCCACACGGCGCTCCCTTCCCGGCAGGGTCACGTCTGCAGTGCACAGGGGCGCAGAGGCCCGGCCAGGGGCGCCGCCAGGGACACGCTGTGGCCTTTCTCACACGTGCAATGAACAGCCCCCGGGCTCTGCCCACATAACCCCCCTGAGTTCCAGGGGCAGCCCAGCCACCTGCTCCTGCAGCACACGGCCGCACACGGGCCCCCGAGCTCCCCGGCGTTCCAGAAAGTCCCCCACAGCCTGCTCGGGGCCCACTTCCTCAGAGGACATGGACCAGACCCCAGAGCCGGGGGCAGGAGACTGCGGCCTCCCCTCCAGGGAGCTCAGCCCTCGGGTGAGAGACACACGCAGCAGACACGGGCCACCAAGGACCAGCTCCCTCTAAGGGTCAGGCCGCGCCGTGCACCTGACCTTGCTCCAGTGTGTCCGGGACAGCCCACCCGCGGGCCCTGGGACCACGCGGCCCTCCGGTCCCAGCCATCACCTGGTTCCTCGGAAGCCCGGGTTCTGCAGCCTCACGAAGCCCAGACTTCCTGGTTAAACGGCCCGAGGGGACCCGCCCCCCCAGGACAGAGCATTTCTGTGGTCACGGCCCAGGTAGCAGGTGCCACACTGGCTGTTGTGATGAGGCAGGGCAGGGAAACCTCCGGTCCTAGTCACCTGGCCCCCTGACCCCAGCGCCCTGGATGGACACGGGGTCAAGGAGCCCACGAGGCACAGCGCAAGGGCAGAGACCTGGACGCCGTCGGGGACGGGGCGTGGGCCCCGCAGGCCCCCAGACAGAAGCTTGGTGTCTCCCTCCCCCAGGACCCGAGGCCGCTCCCGCTGCTCCCCTGGCCTGGAGCCCCCGAGGCCGGGACCAGCTCTACTCTGCGTCGCGCCTCACCCCGACCACAGGGAACGGAGGGAAGAGACGGAGCCGCCCCGAGGGTGGTCGGGAAGTACGCGGGATCCGACCGTCTTAACGAAGTATCCGACTCTCCGGTCCCTGGGCCCCGACGGCCAGGGAAGGGGTCAGGGGCTGCTTATCTTCCGTTTCTTCTCCCCATCGGTGAAACGCGACCCCCGGCCGTGTGCACATATTTCCAACTGAGTCTCGGGCTTCACGTATCAAGAGGGTTTTGTGTGGTATTTACGGGAAATAAATCTACACAAATATACTGTTTTCACGAACAGGGAGCAGCAGCATCCCTCCCACACCCACCAGCGCGAGCTGGGAAAGACTGGATTTTATCAATGTCCTTTCTTTTCTTGAGCACTTTTAGTATGAAATATCAAAAAAAAAAAAAGGAAAACCATATGAATAGCACCAGCTTTATGAAACCTCACTACTTCCCCCACTTGCTCCAGACTTTCTATAAAGGAATAGACACGAGGGCAGGGAGGACCGGGCAGCGACCATCGGACGGAAAGGGGAGCAGGACTGGGCTTCCCCCAGAACCCGGCACATGCTCTTCTTCCTCGTTCACAAGCGTGTCGGGCGGATGACCGTGGCCGCTGCGGGCTCCGCCCTGCGCCCCCGGTGTGGTGGGTGGTCAGGAGGCGGCTCCCAGGACCCGCCCCGCACACGCAGGGACAGGGCAGGCCTCCCCCGCCCCCAGCCCGCCTCCGCTCTCTGGGGACAAGCCCGGCTGTGTTTCCGGGTGACGCACACCCACACGGGCACCGGGCCACGCGGCCTGCGACCGCTGGAGCGAGAACACGCCACCTGCCCGGGCAAGAGCGGCCCCCCGTGTGTCCCACTCCGCTGGCCTGGCTGAGCTGCAGGTTTCAGCCCAAGGACGAACCACGGAGGAGTCCAGAAATGAGCACAGCCCCCCCCCCCGTAAGCTGCATGGCTTCACCTGCCCGTGGAGGGCAGGTCAGGGGCGCCCCCGCCGTAAGGGGCCACGGGCGCCCCGAGATGCAGGCCAGAAGCCCCTCTGCTGTCCTCTTGGGCTTCCCTTCTCCTGATTCTACTGTACGCAAAGGCGGTCAGGGGACCACCAGAGACGTCTCGGGGTTAACCTCTTCAGACGCTCAACATAAAAGTCCGTTCAAGCGATCCTTCGTGTTAATCAGAACCACGACAGGCAGAGCTTCTCTACGGACAGGTCCTCCGGAGGAGCCGGCGCCGGGGCCGCTGCCGGGCGAGGGGCCGCTCCCAGGCCCGCGGTGAGGAAGCACCGGAGAGAGGGCCGCGGGCCGACGGCACACGCGGGGAAGGGGCCACTCGGGGGCCGCGGCTCCCTGGCCCAGCAGGCACGGCGTGAGCAAGGGCCCAGAGGTCAGGGCGTAAGTGGAGGGTCCTGGGGACACAGGATGAGCCAATCAGGGCAGGGCTGGGGGCGCCGAGCCAGACAGGCCGGGCCTCCGACGCAGACGGGCCGCGGAGAGATGCTGCGGGTGGACATGGGCCTGGGGCGGGGGGATGCGCAGGCTGTGCATACCCTCCACACGCAAGCCGAGGTTCACCCAGTTCCCTCAAACTCTTCCCAGGTTATCTGAGTCTGGAATCATGGGGGATCTTCCAGGGAAGCACCCCCTGGCAGCCCCCTCCAGCCCTTCCCGGGGGTGGGGGGATGCTGGGGCGGGGAGGGGCCACAGATGATGGGGAGGGGTGTACGCAGGGCTCAGGGGGCGAGGAGCTGGGCTCTGCTCATGTCACCAGGAGGGCACGTGGTCCTCACTGTGTCGTTTCCGCTGTATTCCCCAGGTCTCAGAACGGGAGGCTGTACTGCCTCAGTTTACCACTCTGAAGTCTCAACTAAAACTCCCTTCTTCTGCCAAAGAGAGTTAAACGCGGAGCAAAGAGAACGGACGGCTTATCGTGACCCACGTCGGCTGCACCAGGGCCGGCTCCTGCCGTTTCCTCCCGTCGGAAAACAATGCCGGGCTCACGGGTAGGCACGACGGCCAACGCTGGGAGCGACGCGGGACAAGGAGACGCTCGAGAGGCCTCCTGGGAAGGGCGCCCCCGCCCCGCTCCTCCGCGCGGGCAGGCAGGCAGGCAGGCGGCCGGAGCACAGCCGTCCCGGGCCCCGTCCCCAGCCCCCCCGCGGGCCGGGGGGCACCGCGGCCACAATCCCCATTCATCCCGGTCGCTGGCGGGTGCGTCAAACAGGACCCGTACTATTTCTGTATCAAAAACTACTTGAAATGCCGTGAGTTCTCAGCAGAAGCTGCAAGGGCTCCTGACCCAAAGCGCCCCGGAGGAAACAATACAACCTTCTCTGCTTAAAGAATGCAGCATCAGAACAAAAAAGCCTGTATTCTCATGAATATTTTATGTGGAGTAGAAAATTGCTTTTATAGGTTGGGCCTTGAGAAACATATTAATACAATCAGACTCGTGACGTTAGTAAAAGCACAAAGACCATATTCAGGGTTTCAGGGCGAAACGGCAGGCCCGGGCCGAGAACTCCAAGTTCTCAATCAGAAACAGGGAAAATCTGTTAGTCTCTCTGTTTTCGAATAAACGATCGTCAGAAAGGACACTGTCGTTTCCATGACGGGGTTAGATCCTCCTTCCCTAGCGCCGCTTCATGCCGCCGTATCGATAGGGAATAAAGGCCGGCACTATTCTCCAGAAGTTTCGGGTCTGCCCGAGTAAAGAATGACTCATTCACATCGAGGGGGAGGGCGGCTATTCCAACTCTGTGACTAGGATCGCCTCTCGCTGACATTCTGTCCGTGGGACGGGGGCGGGGGTGTGGGGTGGGGGGAGCGCAGAGGGAGGGGGCGTTGGGAATGCGTTGACCGAGGCCCCGTCACACGTGCGGAAGAACACGTCCCCTGGGGAGAGCAAGGGCGATGAGCTGGACACCCCACGTCCCCACCGCAGGGAGCAGCAGACAATCGCCCCCAAATCACATGCCTGCCCCCCCAGCCGCATGCTGGCTCGGCCCAGCACCCTCTTCGTTATGCTCACACCCTCCACCCGGGTGCCCCAGGCGCTCTTCTTTCGCTGGCGGTGGCGACAAGAGTGAGGAAGGCTCCCAGGAAGACAGGACGTCTCGAGTCCAGTCTGCCTGCGGCGCCGGGGACCACTGGCGAGAAAGGGCTCCGTCTGGGGCGAGGTCCTGGGTGACCCCCGGGAAGCCCAGCGCCACCCCCACCCCCAGTTCCTGCCCCTGCGTCCACCATGGGCGGCCTCCAGGCCTCCCCGGGCGGCGGGGCCGGGGTGAGAAGGACGGGTCGGCGGCAGACGGGAGTCGGGGGCGGCTCACGGGCTGGGGGCCGCAGCGCGAGGGGCCGAGCCGGGGGGTTCGCGTCGGCCGGGCGGCCCGGGGTCTCCTGCGCAGCCGCC